ACGAAGGACACGACATTCTATCAGCGGGAGACATGAGGAGGGCACTTTCTGAAAGACCAGTGAAAGGTACATCCGCATGCGTTTGCGAAGTCGACGAGGCCAAGATAACCTTAGAAGTGAACAGGATAGATGGTTTTAGCAAGCTTTACAATGTCCAGTTTGAGGAGAAAGGTATTCGTGTGTGGAGGTCGTACCGAATAGGGCGTGGCAAGGAAATCTCTTGACCAGCTGGTGTTAAGAGTGGTTGACTAAGAGCCAAGTACAGGGTTTCTTTTCTCGCCTTGCAGCAAGCAGAAGAAGGCAACAAGCACACTCAGAAATCGAGCACAATCCAAAGGAACTATTTCTAGAGGAAAAAGAAGCTGAAAGACAACAGCTAATGGCGCACATTTCTAACGAACTGAGGCCGCAACACCCTCTGTCTTACGACGCCTTTAACTTGTGCGAGTGTGCGAGTGTGCGAGAGATAATAAGCTGAGTCTTTTTAATGTTTCACTACTTAAAGAAACCTTGCGCTTTTTTGAAGTACCATTTAAATCAAGAGACAGGAAAAAGACCTGATTGAACAATTGATGTCCCTTATACAAGAATGTCAATGCTTTAATGAAGTGTAACACACGGGCCACGGTTGGGACGACTGTAAGCATGGAGCCCTGGCAAATCAATGATAGGGCATTTGCAGTGAATTTGTTGAGAAGCAATGTGCACCTGATGTACAGTTCTATATCGATGAATGAGAGCACTTAAAGCATTAACATGTAAGCAAACCCGTAAAAATCATTTTAAAATTGGCGCCTGTTATTTTGTAGGCGTACCTTTAATTTCAAAACAAAAAAATCATAGGTCTACCGTGACCGTGAGTCACGTTGACCCTCACTCTATAGCGTGTACGAGCATTTACAAAAGAGACTTTCTCTATTGCCTCCTCGAAATTTTCTCAATGATTTATGCCTTTAACTGAAGTTACTAAATTCGCTTACCTACTTTTGGAAACGTTTATTAAACTAAATATACCAATTTCTATCGGTTGCATAATTTCTCAATTTCGTCTGGGGAGATTTTCATACTCTCGATGGCGAAACATCAACATATCATGATATAAATGCCGAGCTAAATATTTCTTTAATTTGAGTTCATCAGCCGTGAGACAATCATTTAATACTGATATTGCGTGACCAGGCTAGTTCACGGCAGTCCACAGTCACGCTGAGAAAACTCCACCGTGTTAATCATGAGAACCAACGAGGTCACAATCTAGAAAACTTTCACAAATAGTGAGACGAAATTTTTCCCCAAGTAAGGGTGAATTATTTTCCTGAAGAAAAACGGCAAAAGAGGTCTGAAAAAGATTATGCACAAGATAAAACAATCGAGCGAAATGAACAACTTAGTTGTCAAAACAAACTGGATTCCTTTGGCGCATTGTGTTCAAAGGAAATGGCTCTTGAAATTTTACGTAAAGCTTCTAAAAAAGGATACAACAGATGAGTTTCACATTTATAGGAACACTTCTTTGAATGGCTAAATGTTGTTACAGAAACTATTTTTGACGTGTATTATAACACGAACGCATGAAGCTAACTTGCATATAGGAATAATTCACGAAGTATTTTTCCGGAAAATTTGAGCCATTTCGTGAAAAAATGGTCAAAATGATGATTTATCTCGATCTTGATACTCCATCAGATAATCATAGCGGCATCTTTAAGTATTTTAGGGTAGTTACGCTTTAGAAACCTGTCTGCAGGTCGGACCGCCTTATCATTGGTTTCGATCAAGATGGCGAATATTTATGAAGCTCACAAAGCTCTCTGCGGCGTAGGATGAGGAGTGTCCAAAAGTTTTATTCTATGTTTGACTTGCTTTATCTAAGTACTTTTAAGCTGCACTAGACTTGACTCTAGATCAGGTCCCACGTAAGAGAAAATAGCTTTCAACCGCATGTACCTCACTCCTCACAAATTTCAATGCTCACGATAAGGTATTTTGGAAATTTCATAACTCGGTAAAAAATTCTATAGAATTTAATCGTTTTACCTTTGAAGTATTGAAATAAAGTCATTCTTAAATATGTAAAGTAATCAGCTTGCCCTAGATTGGGAAATAAGGATTTAATAGCGCTCGATATTTATAGCTTAATTATAGCCATCACAGAAGGCAAATTGAGCAGATTTGGGGTGACCTTTAAAATTGTCTCGTAAAAAATAAAAAGAATGGAAATGATCAAAATAAATGTGATATTTGTACATGGGATAGAATTGTCGACTTTCACTGAAAAACTTAAGGAAATCGGTGAGGGGCCAAAATTTGCCTTATCCGTTCTTACGCGGACAGCCTCTTAAACACGAGGCTACACGGAGCCAATATTTTGGCCGGATTTGCGGTTCAGAGGAAATGAATTGAAGACCTTGCGGTTTTTAGCAAAATCGCTATTGTGTGCCATTCATTGTTTACTTAACATGGAGAGTAATAGAGATGAAAACTTTGGAACAAGTTGACGCCGTGACAGATTGGAAATACTGAAATCGCTGGATGAAATGTGGGGACTAATGTACGTACCGCGGCAAAGTAAACAGAAAAGGAATAAGTCACTGTGTGATTTAGCTTAAGAAACGGATAAATCTAGAATGATGACAACCCTCTAACTCCGCAGAATAACAACCGTATACCTCGGGCATTCTACAAAACCAATACTAAATAGAATCCTCCGTTTACTACATTTCCGGTTGCAAAATTCATCAAATTTTTAACAATGCGCTTCAAATATTTCTCTGCCCGCACGAGCCAAATTCCCCTATTTTCCATTCCTATTTCAAGTTTTGCCTCACAGCGGTTAAATAGATATTTGCATTTGAACGCGATGATCTAAGGTAGGTAGGTAGGTATTCTATTTATCAACTTTACACGGATGAGAACAAAATTCATTTAAACGTGAACGTGCCAACTTACTATAAATCCAGTACATATCAGGACGGAAAAAAAAATTAAAAATAAAATAAAACAAAAACAAAAATATGCGAAGATATAAAAGTAAAAATATGCGGAAATCGATAATCCTAAGAGGAAATGTAACTATATAGAATTATGTACAAAACTTACGATTACACTCAACTCCAGTAGTTAAATTGAACTCATCCAGCATTGACTTAAAAATGTTAAGAGATGGAGCTCTCCTTACATAGTCAGGCAGATTGTTCCATAATCTTGAGATGATGTAATGATATGACTTATGCATAAATCTACAGCTATAGGTAGGCTGATTAAGCTTGTAAGAGCCTCTAAGCTCGTATTCATTATTACTAAATAAGAACATCTTGATATTATTCGGCCCATATTGTATCAGAATTTGCAAAAAAGGAGAGGGCATGACAAAATCTATGATGCTCGATGGTCTTTAGTCCAACATAGGTAGGTAGGTCGCTATATGAGGTTGACTTAGCCATGATCAAAAGAGTTCTAATAGCGTACTGGTTAGTAAGTTCCAGTTTATTAAAAAGACCAGTTGATAACCCAAGTAAGACTAGAGCACAGAACTCTAGGTGTGGCAAGATAAAGGCCTTCTAAATATTAACCATCACTTCTGAAGTTATGAATTTACGAACTCTCCTAAGAGCACTAACTTTAATAATATATAGATTTAGCCAAGCCTAAAAGCGGAGCTCGCATTTTTTTTCCCGCACGTTTAAGATTCGTTTATACTTAAGTAATTACACTTGAACCATGACTGAAGCACATTGAACTTGCTCTGAGATCTTGACTCTAACTGATCTTGGTTAGGATGTGATAGATACAGTGTCGTATCATCAGCATAAAGCCTTAGCTTAGCATCGTCGATAGAATAAGTAAGATCATTAATGAATAGGTTGAATGAAAGACGCCGCAACATTGATCTTTGAGGAACGACGTGTTGGATTGTTCTCCAGTCTGAGTAGGTATTTCCAATCTTAACACATGGTAGTCTGTCACATAGAGTATGAGCGAATAAGATTTACAGAACTTTCGGTAAAGCCATAAGCTTTCAACTTAGAAATAAATAGGCTGTGAGAGACTGAGTCAAAGGCCTTGGATAAGTCTGCTGCAATGGCAATACAATGGCAATACAATTCCAGGGAAGTTCTGAAATCTTCAGTCATTTTAAGAAGAGCAGTTGCACATGAGTGACCTTTCAGAAAGCCAGACAGACTATCACTTAGTATTAACTTTGCAAACTCAAACATCTGGTCATGCAGAACTCTTTCAAAGATTTTAGAGAAACATTTTCACACAGAAACTGGACGATAGTTGACGTTATCAGTAGGTCTATCCTTCTTACTCACATTGCTACTTTTCCACAAGCTTGGCCATGCATTAATGGTTGTGCAGTGGTTTATAAGATTAGTAAGTGGAACTGTCAATGCCTCACAGGAAACAGTAAGAGCCCTTAGTGATATTTTATCTGGTCCAGCGCCCTTCTTAGGATTCAGAGAATCTATCAGTTTCTTGACGTAGCCCACTTCAACATGGCGGAAGGAGAATTGCAGAAGATTACATCTCAGACTAATTTTATTGACTCTAAGGAAGTAAAAGCATGTTCAGACAAAATAGAAAAATGAGCAGCAACACCATCTATATAAAGTGTATGTTGAAAATATTAGCTATTTTCATGTTGTCAGTAACCAACCGTCCTTCCTCCAAAACTTGTATATGTTTTTGTTGAGTACTTTTGGAAGGTAATAAAGGCTTGAATTTTTCCAGAATTCACCAAGGTGGGCACATTCGGCAGAAGCCTGGATGAAATAGAATTTCATAGATTTGCGTTTTAAGGTAGTAACAAGGTTTCTCTGCTTCTTAAATTGTTCCCAATTATCAGCGAATTTATTTCTCTTAAATTTCTTGAAAAGGATGTTACGCCTGGAAATTGCAGAGGAGATCTCAGGAGTAATCCAGGGCGGCTGATCGCCTCTGATGTACTTCCTTTTCAATGGCAAGTGCTGATCAACAACTCTTATAAATAGATGATGTCAGTGCTCGTAAATATCATCAATGTCATCATAAATGTTGGCTGAATCCCAGGGGATCTTACTAAGATCAGCGAGATAGCAATCTTTTTCGAAACCCTTCATACTTCGATATTCAATGAACTTTGGTAGAGTTCGAGCAATTTCCTGCTTCCGAATGGTATAGATCAGGTCGTGGTCATTGAGGCCTAATTTCATTGTTCCACTTAAAGCAAAGCGTTCCGGGTTGCCAGTAATGAGGAGGTCACTCCGGAATATAGAGCAGTTAGTTACTCGAGTCGGTTCAGTAATTGTACGAGACATACAAAAACGGTCACAAAACTCAGCTAAGTGCGGATCTGGCTCGCAAGTTCCAGCAGTAAGCATGTTAAAATTCAGATGACCAAAGATGAGCAGCTCAATTCTGATTTTGTAAAAAAAGATTCAACCTCAGAATATAATTATGGTAGAAAATCAATTGGCTTGTTTTTAGTTGGAGACCTGTAGCGTGCTAGGACAATGAATCTTGAGTTGTTATGGCCCTTTACATCGATATATATAAACTCCATATGTGTTGGTTCCAATTTCCGGAACCAACACATATGGAGTTTTTTTTTTGTACACAAACACCCCGCCACCTCCTTTTTTCCGATCCCGCCTCAACATCCTATAATGTGGGCGAGGGTGTGTAGATGAAAGCTATTATATGTAGAGTCAGACTTGGTTTCCGAGATAGCAAGAATGTGAAATAGGCCTTCATTCAGCAGTAATTTGACTTCATCGATCCTGTTCCAAATACTATTAATGTTTATGTGGGCTATAGACTTGTTGACAACAACATTTGTATTGTAATTGGCTATTTCGTCCACCCGAGATTCGCCTGTAGAGACCATAGAGGAATCAATAGCTGAGTTCAATGGTGAATTAGAGACGGGAAGAACTGATGATAAACAGGGTGGACAGATCCAGCTAAAGCCATCCATCTGTTGGAAGTCTCTTTACTGCTTTGGCGTAACATCACCACACTTTACGTGGCACCATGAGTCACACTGGTCACAGCTGAATGCTCGATGGTTTCGAGCAACAGTTTTGAGGCAAACAACGCACTTTTCGGGCCCTGGATTAACACTGATATCGCCGCCAACAATCAGACGAATTAGCTGAAATCGCCCCATGTAAGGTAATCCAAGACAGTATTAGATTCTGGATTCCACGCTGTGGATTCCGGATTCTACCGCTGCAGATTCCGGATATCAAAACACAAAAGATTCTAGATTTTAGTTTCTGGTCTGCCCCTAATTGTAGCATTTCGTTTTCTGGGAATGACTTCAATGGCGGATTTCGCTATCGAAGGATATGTTTGTGAATGCATGTTTGTCTATTCATATTTCCATAACAACATTTGATATTTATGAGAAATGTATAACAGCAAATTAAGGGATAAATTTTTGTTGTAGGAATACCTGTTGAGACTGTCCGTCTCTTAAGTCCAATGTCCATTCATTCCACACCTTTTTAGCAACTCTGAAGAGGCGAGGCCGCACTTCTTTCATACAGGTTCCTCGAGGTTCTTCAAGCGATTTAACAGTAACAAAGAACTAATAGTTCAAATCATTGCTTATCATTTTTAATTTGTAAATAACTGTTGGACTAAAAAGTTTTTCTAGTGTAGCATAACAATGTTCCGACTGGGAAAAGATGGCCAATTTTTAAATATAAAATTGACTTAGAACTGCCAAGAAAACAGCTCGAAAATATTTCCCTATCATCTCAAATTACTTTTTAAACTTTCCTATTAAACAAAAACCATGTTATTGAGGCAAATATTTAAACTGGAATATAATTTTAATAACACCCCGAGTAAATCGCAGACAGAAAAGCTTGTTTTCCTAGATGTAATTGGCAATGATGTTCGACGAGATTGCGCATAAAACGGTGTTAAACCAATTCAACTATACTTAAACCTTGAAAAATCGCGAAAGATCCTCATTTACACGGTAATTTTTGAAGAATAACAGATTCTCTTTTCTATACTTCCTTTTTTCTTTAAAAGGTTAGCCAAGTCATGTCAGATTACGTCGGCTATGAATCCTTCAGAGCAAAGATTATATAAGGTTTCAGATGGCCCGCCACTATTTTCTTTTCTAGAAATGTTGTTTGACCTTAAAATCTGGTAAGATCTTATCTTAGTCGCATCGAGATATGATGCCTTATGAAATCTTAAATTTGTTTTTCCAAATGCCAAATATCAAAGAAAGCGGTTTACGTTTAAATGCCGAACATTCGAACTATAAATAGACCTCTCTTGGCTGCCATAAATATCCATAAATAACTTTGTTCAAAGTTTATCATAATTGGAAACGTGTGGTCCGTCGCCCTGATAAGCTCACTCCTGCTAATCTTGGAAGCGACACTTCCCTTTCACTCTCCCCAGATGTTCTCTCATCCTCTGGAGTTTGATCCTCATCATCTCCAACATCTTCGTTATTAAGGTCACCATTAGCAAGCCTGCAGAGCCTATTGTCCTCCTCAGACGTTAGAGTAATGTTTGAACCCTCGGCAGTGAATCCCAAAACTCGGGTTAGAGTGCAGTTGGGTGAGTTCCGACCACAGACATCGCCGGGAGTGTACGTAAGAGGGTCACTTGTCTGGTTCAGCCACTGAAATTGCACTTTCTTTCGTAGAAAATTGCCTCCATCTACTTCTAATTGGACGTCTTGTAAGAGAATAGCCAGCCAGAATGGCGAAATCTCTCTTCTGCGGTTATGTCTCACAGTAACGACATCCTTATTGTGGTAAACAGTTTGCACCCGAACAGTTCTACCCTGCAGTACGACATTAGCATCTTCTATTTGGCAGGTTGTTGTTACGTCGTGGTAGTCTTCCAATGAGGCTGTGATGACAGAGGGACGCATGCTGAGGGCATATGGAAGTGTGCAAGTCAACTCTTTCGTCTTTGAGCGAACGTTTTCCTGTCGTACACCTTTTCCATATTCTCCGACAAACTCTCGCATGACGACTTCTCGCCTTTTGTCCTCCTCTTTACTTCCTGTTCCCTCGCTGATTTGCGACTGCTTACTTGGTCGTCTCTTAATATTCGGAGGCTCACCCTTGATTATTTTCTCTGGATAAAATGAATTTGGCTAAGTGAAATACAAAAAGTCCTTCTGGTAAATGCGAAGCATGTCGTCTTGGACGCAACGAGCTCTTCTGAATGCGTAGTTAGCCACGGTGGGCATGTAGTGGTCTGCCCTTATTCCTTTGAAAAAGCATTTCACACTCAATGTCGTCATACTTTCAAAACAGATTCTATCAAGAAGATGTTCATGTCCAATCTCTATCGGTGTGTTAGCAAGACTGGTAAGTGATTCTAGCACAATGAGGAACGACTGTCTTGTGGCTCGAGGTATTGTCAAGTCGGGACCATTTGTGTTCCGTTTGCCTGTCCTCTCTAGAACTTTATGTTCTTGGTGATTGAAAAACGTAACTACTTCCTCGATATGCTTGACATGACCTTCAAAGGTACCTGGTAGGTCTTCTTTTTTTGCTTTCGCGTCGATCCTAAACACATTGGCATAATGGGCAAACTTTTTTTTGCAGAGGGATAAGGGCCTTTGCTGACGTCAGCATCCTTACTGATTTGTTACCGGTGTCACAAATAAAAACAGTGTTTCTGTAGGCGCATAGAGAAGTTGGCATATTCCACCGGTTTTTGATACCATCGTAGTGGCCTACACTACCTCCACTGACTTTATATGTGATCTCAGTTCCTCGAAATAAGTCTCCTTCCTTCAAGCTAAAGAGTGAGTGTTCTTTGCTAGAAGATACATACACTGTCCCACTTTCTGTAACTGCAATTCCTGTTGGGCCTGGAATATTTGAAATTGTTTTAGTCTTCAATCCTCCGCGTACTTGACATACATGAACATTTGACCAATTTCCGTCTACTACTGCTAACTCGTCGCGAGTTAAGGCTAACGAAATTTATAGGGTAGAGCTGTCAAATGACAGCAGTTCCTTTAACTCCCCGATTTAGTTGGTTTCCTCCTCCATAACATTAAAAATCGTGAAACCCTTGCTAAGGCGAAAATCTGATACATAAAGTTAAAAGTTATCCTTTGTGGCTGCACATATGGCAAAAGGCGATACTAAATCGAATACATTTTCTTCTGAAATAAGGAAAGATTGTGCACAGACACTTTGCGAATTCAATAAGAAGAGTCATCTTATGGAGAAATTCTCTTCCTTACTTTGGCTTTCCTCGGCGTCTGGATCTTCTTGGCCAATCCTGGAAGCATGGAAGAAAAGCGATCTCATATTTACCACTCTAATGATACCATTCCCTTGATCGCAAACGTAAAGCTCCTCCTCCCTCACTGCCACGCCAGCTAGGTTCTTAAATCTGGCATTGCTTTCACGTCCATTAGTGTGCCCCGGCTCACCACCACCGGCGATTAAAGTGGACAGTGCATGTCAATGATGAAAACTGCCTGAAGAAGTCGATTAGTTATAAAAAGGCTGCTGTGTTTTGGGTAGAATGTCAATCCTACCGGGTGGCTTAAAAGAGATAGCCCATTCTTCTTCCAGCACTTGAATTCAAGTTCGGGTACCAATGTAGTGCTCACTTTCTCATCTGGAATGGAATCCTGGACCTCTTTTCGGTGGATCTCCAGTGCAGTCTCGACATCCCTGCGGTCTAAAATTCGAAGTGCTTTTAGTGAAACGCATTTCTTTATGTCCTCATCTTCTCTACGCAATAACAAGAGTAGTCAATGTCGATTCAATGCCAGAATTCAGCGGAACGCACTAACTTGATGTTGTGGGGGCAAACGGGAATAGGGACTTGGTAAGGGTACTTTTCTCTATCTGCAAGCATGGTATTCATAGAGGTCTTCTGTTTCGGATCGCAGTCAGTGGACCAAACTAATGGCAGAAGTCTTGTGCATACTTTTTTTTCTCTCAGACACTGACTACAAGGGCGAAGGAGTGGGTACCAGTCAGTATAACCAGATGTGGAGCATAAATTGCAGACTATCTTCTCGCTGAAACAATTATCACAGTGCGGCTTGTGTCCTTCCACGTGCTCTGAGTGACTGGTGCAGTTTTGACAGTTCCTGGCTTTCGTCTGGCTTCTAATTACAACTATGTTTCCACGGCCATCAGGAAAATACTACTTTTTGATGCTCTCATTATGATTCATGGAAAATTAATATTTATTTTTGATTTTGGTCAATCGCGAATCAGAAGTGCCAGAAAGTTCGAGAGAGTCGAAAATGAAAAGAGTATTAAGTATTAAGGTCGATACCTCGACCCTGGATGCCAGATAAAAGTAGCGCAGTTTCCGGTGCTAAAGCTTACCGTGCGCCCAATTTGCTTAAAAAACCGGCAGGGAAAGCAGGCAAAAGCAAAGCATCCAAGTTGTCAACAGTTAGATTATTTTCACAGAAAATTTACAAACCCCTCGATTAAAAGCAAAACTAAAGCGTATCTTTTACAAGGTCACATTCCCACTGTTGTTATGAGAACCAGTTAGTTAATATTCACAGGACGTCATAGCGGCCATATCATTATTTAGAGGTGTTCCAACACAATCAAATAGCGGTCATATTGATGTTCCAAGTAAATCCTGTGGGATTTGAACTCTTTAGTTATATAAATACTTTCTAAAATTGATTACCGATTGACCACGTGAGTGAACTGCACTCAACAGTGGTGCATGGATGCGGGTGAAAGCCGTTAATACGATTTGAAATGGATTTTCAGCAAATGGATTCTGCGTTCCCTTTTTAGCTGGATTCTGGATTCCAAGGCCCAGTATTCCGGATTCCACAAGAAAAAATTTCCTGGATTCCGGAATCCGGATTACCCTACATGGGCGAGTGAAAACTGCTTTGTTTACAAAGTTTTCTCCCGCTTACATCTGATAATAAATCTGCCTCGGAACGATATACCACAGAAGGCATTTTATGGACCGCAAGTTTCTCGACTGATTTACAGTATTAGGTTTTTGCTTTACATAAATATTTTAAAGTTTACTGGAAAGATAAGTGTACACAGTAGCAAGCTTGGTTATAGTTTATACGCGGCCCAGCACTTCAAGCTCGAGTGACCGATCACCCATAGTTTATGCATCGTTTTTGTTGCAACTCATCGTTTGTGCTAAAATATCAATGGCTGGTGATGAAACGCAATCGTTAGAGCTAAAACATCAATCGCTAGTGATGAAACTCAGTCGCAGGCGCTAGTATCAGTTTGTTATCGATTCTAACTTGAACTAGTCTCCCGTTTGTTAAGCAAAGATGACCAATCAAATCTTGCTTACTTTCTTGAAATCCGATAAGGGACATGGAAACTGATCCCACAAGATATTTTGAATAGTAATTGTTTTTAATAAATCATTATTGAAAAGTTATTGTAAATCTGAAAAACAATTACAGATTCTAATAAGATCACTATCTCCACAAATAACCTATTAACACTCAAAAATAATTTGTGATCCAAGATTCTTTATGAAATCCAGAAAAATGTTTCAGGAATATCGAGTAGCCCGTTGCATCTGCATACATAGAGATGTTCTTTTCCCCTGTGGTTATTTTTCATCTGGACAAAGTTTTCTGTCAGGCCTGCGATCTTTTTAAAGATAAAATCATTGAAAATAGCATGGCAGGCCCGACAAGTTTTCGCGGCTTTCGGAAGAGAAACGGGTCTAAGCTCCCGAACTTAAAGTCCCGAGCAAGCAACAAAGGTGTCAAGAATGGAAAATTCAGGCCCTAGGCGAAGACGCCGGGAGGCCGGAAAGGTTTCGGTAAAGACTGCGCGAACGAATTTAAGTTTCACTTCCAACTTTTCCATCATGAATTTCAGACCGCCAGAGGAATACGTCTGAAATTCGGGTTATCCTGGAAGTAAATTTCCTTGTTTCGCAATAGGATAAAAAAGCTGGAACGCATATTTCTGCACCATACCTGTGCTTTCTGATCACGTCTGAATCACAATGTTCGTTACGTGTCTTACGTGTTTTACTAACTAAGCTGACTGGAAGAATGCCATTAATTTCATAAGCTTAATGAAAAAATGAAAGCGTTAAAGGTGGGGTAGATGTTGGCATCCCACCAACGCAAGCAAGTCACTGATGAACGAAAAAAACAGCTTCCCGCTACCTGTCTTGAGTGATACCCCGTGGAAGGCAAATAAAGAGCGACACATCCTTGTGCATAGTATTTTGCTCTGAAGCTTTCTTCCCAGAAAATGCCGGATTTTTTCGTGCAACGCTTACTCCTCTTCTTTGCGGCGATGACTCGAGAACTAAGCTAAGCCTTAGTTACAGAGAAACAGACTCTTAAAAAGTAGGGTTAGCTATAATCACTGTCATAATGTGATGCGTCTCACACCTGACCATAGTAAAACTGATGGATACATCTGGTACCTGGCCTTTTTAAAAGTAGTGTAATAGAGTTCCAAAAGGAGTCCTCAAATCCCACCTTTCCCCCAATTTTTTTTCTGGTAAATCCCGCCATCCCATCATTCCGCCTTTCTTTACCTCAAAATCCCGATTCCACTCGATGATTTTAAGGACCGCTTTATTGTTAATTGTGTAAATAAAAGTGGCATAGCTGAGTTACGGTAGCTGACAGTACCACAGGGGGCTCACATAAATGGAGCGACTGTTGATGTTTCAAAATTATAAAGGAATGCATAGGAAAACTGAAACGTTCGTATTAGTATGAACTATTCAGGTAGAGTTTTAGTGTAACTGCAGAGAGGATTGCAGTTACGCCTAAACTGAACAAGTAGACTCCCACAAACTGCTTGGGGTGACGCATTTTGTGCAAGTCTACTGCACATAACAAGTATGTACAGTAGATATTTTACAAAAAAATACTCATAAAATTTGGACCAAACGTTCTATACTACCACCTAAGACACTTAGAGGAAATACAAAAAAAATTTCAACCGAACCTTTGTGGAATTACTCTACTAAAGACCGTTTATTCGACGTTTTGCTCATCGATGATCTTCCTGATGAAAATAGCGAAGTGTAAAAGGTGATTGGACAGAGTGACTGGGATTCGCTGACAAAAGTAGGCGAGGCAGTAGATGTAACTGGGTGTTGTCGGGGATATGAAATTCAGGTCCCTTTCACAGTTCGGTGATTTTAGTGATATTTAGGTCGCATCCGGCATTCTGTTTTATCGTTGCTCAATACTCAAGATATTTTTTGAGATACTTGATGAAAATCCTTCGTTTTCGGAAAGAAATTTCATGCAGGGAAAAAACGTAAAACATGTTAGACTTCTTTTCACTGGGAATATGATTTGTGGTAAATTTGGGCTAGAAATTGGAATTGTAATCACACCCTCCCCGTCAGAACACCGCTAGTATACTTGTAATTAGGCATTTGTTACTCTGAAAGATGTTTGCGACTTGTCCCGAGTTTTTCTTAATTGAGTGTCGAAATTGTTTTTCCTTTTGGGCTTATTTCTGTTCTAGGAAACGCCACAGATGCAAACTCAAGACATCAGTCAGAGTACATTCTTTTTTTTCAAGAGGCAAAATCGTGCTACAACGGTAAACACATTTCCTCTGGAAATGGGCCCAAAAAGACTCCTTGAAAGTTATGGAAGCAATGATAGTAGAAGTAGAAGTAATGATTGGAAGAAGAAAGGCGTCGGTGAAGTTCGCACGTCATTGCCGTGAAATTGCGTGGCTACTACTGTACCCGATTCCAAGACGGGGATCATTGTGCATATCGATGAATCAAAGTTTAACCACAAGTATAAAGTAAGTTCAACCTAACATTAAGGCCAGTAAAAGAAAATCAGTAATACCTATAAAAGCAGATATCACACTCGGTTAATTTTGTGGATCCAGCAACCGGTGTACATACAAAGCATGCAGAAAGCTACTGGAATGCAACAAAGGAAAAGTTTAAAAAGATGAAGGTAAATACTAATAATAATTTCTTACAAGAATATTTGCAAGAAATCACGTAGGACATTGGTACGGAGAACCTCATCCAAGCTGCTTTCTAAGAATCTTACACCGGGACATCGCTGAACAACATCCCAAGTAATTAAGGTTGAAAGAATTGATCTAATACAATAAATGTATTATTCCTCGCCTCCTCACTTTCGGTGTACACGAAATATCGATATCAGCAGGTATACTACATGTATAGTACGTAAACAATGAGGTCTGAACTCGATTAGGTGCTCATTTTCTTTCTGACTGTTATAACATGACATCATTAATGTTTGTATGGTTCCAAATACCATTCTCGTACAAACTCCTCTTGTTATTTGCTTTGATCATACATCAAGAAACTTTTTAGCTTTTGCATGCTTGTTATTATTGTTGCTGGAAAAGTTTAATTTTCTATGCAATGCTATACATTTACGTCAAAATTGCAAATTAATTCAGAGAACCTTTTCCCTACCTCAATGTTTGAACTTTCGTCAAAGACTGGATCAATACACTGTACATCAATGGTGGATATTCAGCCGTTACTGCACCGGGTATCGGTCGATTTCTCAGTTGACTGTCGATTGATACTCGGTCGAGGCTTGACCGACAGTCGACAGTCGACCGATGTATAACCGACGTATAACCGATAATCGAATGATATACCACCGACAATATTGTGATTGTTACGTCGACCAACACCATGAGGGCCATTAGGTGTGCTGTCGATCGATACTCAGTCGAGTATCGGTCGAGTACCAATATATCGACCGATACTCGACCGATACATCGACCGATGTCACGATCGAGGACCCCTATAAGATACATGATCCGAAAATCGCTTACGGGTAAAAGCAGCTTCAGTGGTTTAGAATTTTCTTCGGTTGTGTGCCGAGCACAGGAACTTGATAGCTTATCTTTTGCAACCAGCTGCAGATCAAACACACCTTGCGTAGTTACCCAGAGAAAAGAGATCGTACTTTCAATACTTTCAAACTCCGGACCTTTATGTTTTATGGCATAGCTCTCCATTATTTCAAAGCCTTTAGCTGTACACATCTCTTCAATTTTTGACCTGCTTTCGAAATGGTAATTACCCATCAGGCGGCCAAGGTTCAGTGGGTTAAGCTCCCCATAAACGTCGTACAAGGATTCAGGTAACAAAGGGTTGAACGAGATAACGATTTTCCCAGCTGGTTTAATTAAGGCTCTGATACATGTTACTGAAGGCTTCTTGTTTCTATCTTGGATCCAATGAAGCACAATGTCGTAACACTCCTTACCCATTCCGGAAAAACTCGAAGCGCTTCTTCGAGAATTGTAAGATTATTAATTCCTCCGTTTGACTCCTGGGCCAATTTAACCCGAGAAATGTCGGGGTTCACGGTTACGACTTTTCCATCTCTTCCCACAAGCTCCACCAGATAGGCAGACAGTTCTCCAGTGCCACAGCCTAAATTCAGGATGATATCTCCTGGACATGGCGGAACATTTTTCAGTCAATTTCGTGCCCAACGATCCTTGCACGTTAGTAGAAATTTGCTGGTAACAGTTAGCAGCTCGTTCACTGTTTATCATAGTTTGTGGCTGAGACTGACGTTAAGAGCGTACAGAGAGCCGCTAATTGGTTGCAGCCAGCATTAAGAATTTGACTGTGCAATATCAAACAAAGGATAGAACAATTTTCTGTAGAACCAGCCGACTAAGTGCCTCGAACCAAGTTTGGATTTGAGTTGGACTTGAGTTAAAAGTTCGAGTTAGATTACAAGACCGTAAATATGCAAATTTATTTACCTTGCGCAACAGACTCGAGAGCAAAGGTCCCACCAGGGAGGCGTAAAATGATCTAAGGGCTTGTCAATATAAAGTAAGAGGACTTGTCAGTTGTTAAAATCCGAATTAAAAGTATCATTTGAATAAAGGGGTCAGTTTCTAAGGAAACTGTGTTGCTGCGTAAAGATAAAGCTTGAACACTGAAGAAGCCGCATTTACATTTCTTATAGGGACAATCAGACAAAGGGCTTAAGCTAGAAATTTCAGCTTTAAAAACTCTTTACGGTGGCTAATTTACATTATCAACTCATGAATCATATGAAAGCGATCTTTACAGTAATGAACATTACTTGAGCAGTAGTGAAATTGAGGTTTGAAAAAATTTAGGCATGTCTGTGATTAAAATATGACCTCTGCTATACCGTCACAGTGCCCTACCATCTGAGCTAACAAGCTAGCTGGGAGCTGGTCATCATTAGTTCGTAAGAAACGTGTGAAGTGGTGAATAAATGACTGGGAATATGCGAAAATCATGTACTTGAACTGCGGATTAAGAGGGGAATATGAGAGCAATCTTTGCAGTGATGAATATTAGATAAGCAGTGGTGAAAATAAAGCCTGAAAAATAAAAAAATCAGGCCTGCACAGAATTTGAACCCGTGACCTCCGCAGTACTGGTGAAGTGCTCTACCAACTGAGCTAAAGAGCCAACTGGAAGTTAATTATGTTAGTTTGTAGTGAACCCGTGAAGTTGAGACTAAATGACTATAAATATATAAAAGTCATATATGTGAACTGCGAATTAAAAAATGAATGTGAAAGCGATCTTAAAAACACTGTTTAAGAGGTGTTCATTGTCGTGTTCATTACTACAAAGATCGCTTTCATATTCATTTCTTAATCCGCAGTTCACGAGTATGATTTCCATAAATTCACAGTCAGTTTTTATTAACTTAGTTGATGAAATCGAATTATTTAGAGATCATTTGAATTTACTCGGGATGCAGCCACTAAAAGTGAAAAGCAAACCGTCATAACCTCCAAATAGAAGGTTGATTTGTAGTGTACTGTGCGGCCATCCCGTTGCCTCAGTTTCCTGCAGTGTTACTACCCTGTTCTACAGTGTAATACTGTGGCATATTTTGCGCGTTCCCATGCTCCAATGTTGTGAAAAAGGTACTGATAATAAACTTAATGTTAATTAATTAATGAAAATTAATATATTCCACAATTTTAGTAACTAAACTTACCACGCAGAAAGTGAATCAGATATTGCAAAACCGCTGTCTAACAAGCTTGATTGCTGTAGGCTCGGATTTATGTTTCAAGTCGACCGAGCGTGTGAAGGTTTGTTGCACGTGCTTGCAGAGCATCTTTAAACGCTGAATTCAAAATGCAAGGATACTCTCAAGAAGCTTCGCCATTAGCGATAGTTACAGATGAAACTGCAAGCTTTTACGAGAACAGGTAAACGTCCGTTATGATCATACCAGCTTTTTAAAGCAATTGGTATATTGCAATTGTATTTTAATACCATTGCAATGTGCCTGGTACATGTAGATGTAAACATTCGCCTTTGTCAGTCAGAAATACGTATCGTCGTGATACAAGCTTAAAATGACCAGTTATATTCACTTGGAACGTTGAGTCCGTGGAAGGATTGCTTGTGATTGACAATTTAGAAGAACTGCTGGATACAAGTTGTTGTTTCATAACTTCAACCGACTGCTTATGTACTTTGGGTCGTGGAAGTTGTCATTCACACCATGGTCTAGCCCCTGATTTTGTATTGATGTTGTAAAGGTTAAAATATTCCCTGAATAAAAAAGGAAATTTGTGCATGAAGTTAAGAGAGCACAACAAGAACTATCAATTTCAAGGTCTACTGATACGTGTATGCTACAAGGAACTCATCGTGACTCCGGCATAAGGATTCTTTAGTACCTGATTACACTTTCTATAGCTATGACAGTAAGAGACAATATGTGCAATTACACAGGATCCTTTCATGTGTGATAAATGACCTTTCCACATGAGAAACTACATTTGGTGAGTGTGACAGATATTTCTCAAGTTATATTACCCATGATGACCATCTAGCTACACATAAGATTACCAATAAATTTCATTTCTGTTGCTTATGTTTATTACATGTTATTGCCTTTCTTAAGTCATTCAAACTTCTCAAGACCTTTGCGACGGGAGGAATACAAGGCCTGTGTAAAGAATGTTCCTATTGATATGTCTAAGGTGAGTTATCATGTGAATGATTGTCAGCAAGATGGCAGCACTCCCAAGTATGTATGTATGTTTCTATGTATGTATGTATGTATGTACATGTATGTGTATGTATGTATCCTACCAGTGGTGAATTTATGTTAATGGGTTACACCCTAACATCAGCATGCATATTCTCCACACTGTTCTCTAAACATTTCTGTGGTGCTTACACGGAGAATTCATGTAACATTCAAGAGCCTATTAATAGTTGGTGATCATTTCCTTTGTTCTTGTGACCTTAATGTGTGATTCAGGAATGATACTGTAAGGAGAAATGAATGAGAGTTTTGCTTAGCTTGGAGTAAAAGGTTGAAGGCCCCTTTCCAGTGTTGCTCTAGCTGTTTACTAGGGGAAGATTTATTTGGCTATGCTAGGGAATAGTTAGCTGCAGGGCTACAAGCTGAAATTTTTATAGTGACCAGAGATGAAATTTGAATTTCAGGAAAAATGGACAATTTGTGCAATGTTTAAAGATAAACTGCTGACTGCACTGCTTCTGTTTTGAGTGAGCAGTATAACTGACATTTGTGTTGGAGATAGGCAACCCAAGAAAACGAGGCAAATTTTTTCTGAAGAAAATGATAGAGTATGAGGACATGAGTGATGGCTGACCAGAATATTTATCTGATTTTGATTTCAAACCTCACTCAACAAGCACTACGTTATAAAAACTTGACAACTTATGTACATGACTGCCAAATACACAGATTATCAAAATTTACAAATAGCTCATTAAGCAACTTTCATTGCAAATTTAGTTTCCAAATATTTTGAAGTAATTATGGACTGGGCTGTAATGTGATGGTTTTTGTTCCTATCACACTTACTTTAGACTGTTGTTATGGAATGTGAGTTTTAACCTCTAACTCCCAAGATCTGATTGTTACTTCTCTCCTCTAGCTGCTACAAATTTCCTTCTAAATTGGTTACATATATTTAGTAAATAGATGGTGGTGAGGGTACCTTAACCTAGCTATCTCTCCTTTTGTCAATGTTGAGTAGAGAGTTTTACAAGGAGAGTACATTGTAAGTAATTCCAGAGGAGGATTTATTAACCGAATGCAAATGTGGCAGTCTATTCAGTGGGCCAGGGGAAGTCAGCCTTTGCCTTTTCTTTTCAGAGTGCAGCCCTTGAAATTCTGTTATATTTTCCTATGCCTACAAGTGGGTCTGTTCCTGAATATCATCAATAGAGAAGAAAATCTTTTACAGGAGAGAGGGTTCCAATGTTTGAGTTTCCCTGTTTGCCTCTGGGTAGAAAATAGCAATCACAAGGGGACTGAAGTTTGCTTGCATGATTTCAGGCAAGAAGAACTAACAAAATCTTTGAATGTATTAATTTATTTTTCCTGAAACACTTCACACCTAATGCTGACATAACTTTTTTTCACTGGCCTTCCAAATTATGCCACTCTCGCAGCTATACTTAATATCCTGAGTTCAGGCGAAGATGGAGAAATGTGCCCTTGAAGTAAATATACCTTGAGAGATGTCTCAGAGGAGTTTGATAAGGCTGACTCTAAAGATGAGGACAACACAACAACTGCCAAGAGGAAATACCCCCCCCCCCCCAAGGCTTAAACCACCCATTGCCTAATGTTGCCTGAGGAGAGATTATCCTGAACTCCATTCAGCTCATTTGAATGGCACAGCACAGTGTGAAAGTTAATATCAGCATCAGTTGTAAAGCATGCAAGGGAAAATAATTGGGAAGGTATTGCCTCACCACCATCATTTGGCTCAAAATTTTCACTTTTTTCATCAATAAGGACAGTGGTAATTGACTCATAATTGACTTTTTATAGAACTTGCAGAAAATACAGACAATAAAGCAATGTTTTTCAAGAGCTGTGCTGTCAAAACAAAACCCAAAGACTGTCTAGCCTTGCTTTTGTGCAACTCAAACTGAGCTTACCGAGTAGTTGGTCATATTTGTATTTAGTCTATGGTGATAATTTTGTATACCATTTATGTATGGTTTTGGCTAATCAATCATATTGATCACAAGGTCTGGGTTACTATACTGCTAGTCTTTGAGGAAACAACATCTAATAGTTGCAATAAAATGAGGATCAAAATGCATCAATGACAGCATGCCACGGCACACCAGTGACAACAAAACAAGGTTTCATACATTGCGACATGTTAGCTTTCAACTTTGTTGAATTACTAAGACTAACAGTAGAGCAGTTGAAATGTCGGAATTAACATAATTGACTTGCCTGACTCTCACA